AGATGGTGTGACCAAGATTACAGATATCTAGATCTAACTGATAATCTTAACGTTAACTGATACAAGTCTAGTTTTTTCAAAATTGTTGTCCGTGGGATTCGAACTCTAGACCTGCTGTCTGAGAGTGCGACAACTCCACCACTTCACTAAGTTACCACACCCTTATTAGCAGAATTTTTATGATGTCTTATAGTAGAAATTATAATAATCTAGTAACTAATTCTTTATTATAGTATACTATAATAGCAATTATTACTACTTGAGTTGTTAATGACTTATTTGAAGCCAGCTTTAGCTGCATAATAGAGCCAAGCTAGCCCAAGCTGAAAAGCTATAGTAATTGAGCTACATTTTAGAGTTGTAGCTTAATTTGTAGCTTGAGATGTAACTTAGAACCACAGCTTAGTTGTGGCTTAGCTTAAGCTATAGCTTTATTAACGTGCAGATTAAATTTTATATGATTATATATTGATATTAAATATTGTAATAATACTGTATATTGGCTATTTACCTTTATTATATAGAATTTCATATTAAAAGTTTATAGTTTTTAATCTATATTCCTATATTTTGTTCTATCCAACTTTTCAAACAAAGTAATATCTAAGCAGTTTCAGGAAAAAGACAGCTATAAACTTTTGTAATTGTTTCTGCTGCTACAGAAAAAGCCTCTTCACAAGGAATGCTTGTTTCTTAATTACAAGATAGTTATATACTATTATTGCTAAAGTTGAAAATCTATATTCAGTTTGTTTCTACTAACTAAGAGAATCATTTTTATATATAAACAAAGCTAAGTATAAATCTAATTCTTCTTCTGATAGTTGTTTAGTTTCTTGCTCCTCTATAAAAAATGACTCAAAATATTCTTTTTTATTTTTAGAAGTAGTCAAATTAGTATTTATCTCTAAAGCCAATAATTTATAATGAATTATTTCTTGACATAAATTAGCAATAGCTGTAGTTCTTTTTTCTCTAGACGGAAATGTTTTAAGTTATCAAGAATTGCAGCTATTGTAATTTTTTTATCAAGAAGAGTCCAATATTTATTTAATTTATAATATATAGAATCTGCAACCATACACTCTTTTTTCATTTGTGATCTATCAATAAATTGATCAAAATATCAAATAAGCCTATCAATAATTAAGTGAACATCAAAATTGTTGAGTATAAACAACTTGAAAAATATTTTGTTGTTTCAAGAACTGAATAAAGAAGTTCAATCATAATATTAATTCTTTCTCATTTGAAATCATTAGAATAAGTAAAATTGTATTGATTTTTGTATACTGTTACAAGAAAATCAGTTTCTAAATGTATAAGTTTGAATCTATGAAGTATTTCATAGGTACTATTCCAATAAGTAACAATATCAACTTTCAGTATATGAAATGTTTTTCTATTTAAATATAGAAATATTAAATAATATTAAATATAGTAATTAAATAATTAATATATATTTGCCTCTATTAAAAACTCATCTCACATTCCTCCTTTACCATCTGTCAACATTTCTGACTCTCTTATACCTATACTTTTTCACAACAATAACGCCTCTGAAAATCTTACTCAAATTG